TTTCAATTGGTGATCGAAAGACAAATAGAATTGCTAAAATTCGTTTGCATCCAAATGGTTACGGTTCAATATTTGCATTTACTGGTCTCGATATTTCATTTTGCAATTCCGTCCTGCGTTTTTCATTTGGTATTTTTCAACTTTCGAACAGATCACCAGATTTTGTACGACTTTTTTTAGGTAAACAGAGCTGTTGACATTATTTAAAAATCAATGTAATACCTACCTCTCCTTTAGTGGTACTTTGTAACCTGATATGGGCAGATTGCTTGGTTGTAGCAAGAACTGTAAATGTGCAGTCTGAATAGAAAAGAAAGTCTTCTAGATACTGACTCTTTAAGAGATAATTGTTTTGGACATTTATCTTAAACAAAACTTTTTCTTTACAATTAAATGATCATCGTCCACCAGCATCCCTTTTGAGATTTTTTTATGTTTGAAAATAAAAATCCTCACTCCCACTGTGTTTATATCATAGGACAGAGACACACGCGCGCCGTTTTATATTTCTTAAAAATAAGCCAACATTTACTCTTTATCAACCCTTTATGCTCTACTATGAATGGAGATATTGTAAGATTCGACCTTTAAACCAATGGATGAACATGACATGTTATGTGAATTTGAATCATGCGAAACGCCTCATTTTCCGTATATGAAAAAAATCTAAAACACAATAATGAAAATTAAAAATGTATTCAGCAGCATTCACCTGGTGGGTTGGTCTTGAGAAGAGCATCGCTAACATTGATTTTAAGCAAGAATGCTCTCAATGCTGATTCTGTGTGAAGCAAGAGATCATCGTTACTGTGAACAAAAAAATAATAACAAATTAAAGCAACTTGACTATTTGCCGTAGTACTAAATATAGCAAAATTATAGACATATARTTATCCTTAGTAGTAAAATAAAAAAGATATGTGTATTTTATGTGTGTCTCTACAAATAACTGCCAGAAAATACTGACTGTGTTCATAGTTAATAGAGGGGGAATTCCTCTCTATTACATGTGACTATGCTGTGTTTTATGTAGTAGCCTCCTTAGCAAGTCGCATGACTGATACTAATTACGACTACAAAGGAGGCTGTTTATGAAGAGGACTCTTAAAATTCATATATTGACAAAATTAATGCCAGCAGTAATTGTGTATAATAATTGGTTAAATAGTTCATGCATTTAATGATTTTTTCAATGAGAAYCCTAAGTTTACCTCAATGAAAGCTGTTCAGGTTGGTTCACCTCAAATGTAAATCTTTCCACAGGTTGATGGTTCTGATGAAAGAAAGGATATTTTACATTATTTAAGTAGACAACAAGTGGACTACAATTTGAAAAAATATTTCTGAATAATAATAAAAACAATACTAAGAACAATTGAAATCTTGGGCATTTTTCTGAGATATTTACACTTTGAAAAACTGGATGTTCCTCAAAATTTCAAAGTTACCCTTGAACTCAAGTAACTTTTTGTAACATCCMCTTTCCACTTCAGGTAACTATCACTGCACTATAATAGAGCGGATTCCGTATGAGTGGGAAACGGCCAGTAATGTACTGTGACCGTAGTCGTACTGTAACCAAATTCTAGTGCCCCATTGGTTCACCAAAATTGTGCAGGCCAGGTCCAGTAACTGTGCGGTAACCGTGCGGTAACGGTGTCCCACTCATACGAAATCCGCTCTACCCTCAATATTACACTATAATATTGTTTAAATAGGCCATGAGGCCAAGTGGTCTAATAGAGGACTTGCAAATTTTGCCTTGGTAGTTACACACAAAGGAATCAAGATGTAATGCTGTTTGTAAAGCTTAGTAATTCGTGAATTGACAATTGTTTTATGCATGGCTCCTTGTATTGATTCTTTTGTGTATGACTACTGAGGCAAAATTCTTGACATTTCTTAACTATTTTGTCTTTGTTCCTTGCCACCAAAGTGTATCATGAATAATGGAGTCCTGGATTATATTCAAGCCATTCTTATTCCTATAACCCACAGACCTATCTACCTACCTTATTTGAAATAACCAAACTTATCTTTGATACCTCATTCTAGAATGAAACAGGTAAAATAACATGTGACTTCACATTTGTCTGCAAGAGGCCAAAGAACATCAAACTAAATATTTGAATGATATAAAAATCTCTATTGATAATCAAGCTTGTGATTATTGGACTTTGTGAAAACAAGAAACCATAAATTAGACAAACAGAACAGTTGTTGTAATTTTTTTCCCTCAAATTGGTAATAAGCATAAATTGGTGAAAAGTAGTGAATGGAATATGTTGTTCGAGTAAGGAGACTGTGGTTGGTGAGGGCCCAGGCAGCCCAACACATACAAAACAACATCTGGAAATACAATTGAAATCACTTCTTGTAAGGGACGTTCCATTTAACTTTTGAGGGGGGAAAAAATATCCTGCAAGCCATCTTCACCAAAAATAAAAATCGTACACAACATATGGACCTAAAGAAAAATCTTGCACCACCCTAAGCCCCCAAAAAATGTTACATACAAGAAGAAAAAAAAATCCTACACACCACCAAGAGAAAAAATATATATCCTACCCAAAAGCCAGGAAGAAAAAAAAAATCTTGCTCACAAGAAATCCCCCGCCCCTCAAAAGTTAAATGGACCGTCCCTAAGATTGTTACATTCTACGCGATCCAACTACTGTAGAATGAATGGCCTAGTGTTTATAAATACCTTTTCAACCAATGGTTTTATTGTTAGCAAAACTTCTTGAATGTAGCTGTTTAACTCAGGGTGACAACACATCTAACAAYAGTGAAAACAAAATACATGAACRGTAAGCTATTAATAAAAAGTCAAATAAAATTTTCAAACCTTTTGCATGGAGGTGTTTCGCTCCTTTCTATAACCTTTCCAATCTTAACATTACAACCTACCTGCACTGGGACATTGTATTTCTTTCTTCTTTCAAAGACTACGGCAGGATAAACTTCTCTCACATACAGGATAAGATGAAAAGCAACTTCAAGAAACTCGCACAGCACTCCTGAAAAGACTGATCAGAAAACAAAATGTTTTYGTCGTTATTCTACAATTTGACAATTCTAATTTCCTAACCTGYTTGTGCATCTATAGTTTCTTCAATTTTCCCTGCCATCATCTTGCATTTATATATTCTATGGTGTCATAATTTGTCGATGTTTTTAAAAGGCTTAAAACTGAAACATTTCAAGTCTTCCGCCATTTTGAATATCATAGTGCCATTCCTACTCAGAACACAGGGAATCCACAAAACTGGGGGAAAAGGGTGCAGGTCGGGTGCAGGCGGAGCAAGCGGATATTTTTCACATAAAAACATTTTCATAAAGTCAGTAATGTCAATAACATTTAATTTGCTATTTATCTGGAGTTAAACACTGGAATACTTTCCGAGAATATTAAAACTATTTTTGTGCAAACGATGACTTTGCTATTGTGCAGCGACGCCATTTTGTGCAGCAAGGCATGACGGTAGTCGTAGTCGTATAGTCCTCGCACGTTTCATATATACTAAAATATTTTTTAAGAATAGATAATAAATAAACATTATTTTTTCTACATTTTCTTTTTAGAAACGGCACAAATACTTCTATTTTTGCTTGCTTTTTGTACTTGCTATTTTTGCTTGCTTTTTGCTGGTTGTGCCATTTTTCAGTGTATTTGATTTTTTTTTTAATTCAAAATTACTTAACCTATGGCTTTCTTTTACGTCCAACTCTATTTGACTGTTCGTACTTCAGAAGAAAACTTATAGTTTTCTTCGCATGCTGTTTGTCAGTGACATCTTTCTTCATCTTTGTCTTAACTTCCAAGTACGTTTTCGCAGACCATATTACTCTGGAGAACTACCCCTACATTGCTTGCTAACATAGTGAAGTATGTTTTCTATCAAATTGGGAAATTTTTTGTTCCGCAAAAGGTGTAAAATTCTTGTCATACAAACCTCTCTTGAAGTAGTATCAAGAAGGACCAATCAGGTGCCGTGTTTTATGTGAGAACGTCGTGATTGGTTTTCTAACAATATAGATTATCAGGACATCTCAAGGTGACAAGTTTACTAGCAAGATGGACACTTCTGGTTATGTACTTCTGGTACCGTGTACGTTAAAACGTTTTCCYCATGAGCCGTGGCAGTGCTATCCCGTAAAACGTTTTATTTCTTGTGTTAGGCGTGGAAGGTGATGGTTAGAGCGAAAAGAGCGAAAACGAAATGATAGTAAGAACAATTAGACCTAGAGTGCGAGTTGACTAGAAGCTGATAGCCCACGAGGCCGTCGAAGGCCAAATATATGAATACGAGGACGCGCGTATGGCGCTATGATAAACTTTATACAGAAACAGACTTAAGGAAAGAAATACCGTATTTACTCGAATAGACGCCGCGGCGTTTATTTCATTTTTCACGATCCAGGTGCGGCGTTTATTCGGGGACGGCGTTTATTAAAAAACACTTTATTCAGTACTACATACAGTACTTTATATTGTATCTTTTTACTTTCAAACAGTAACGAATCTCAATATATAAATGTCGTGTTCATTTTGTCTATTCAATTTATGATTTTAACCAGAGTTAAACTTCTATTTCAACATCAATGTCCTCCTCGTGGTCCGAATCTTACAGCTGCTGAGCAAAAATGTACAGTCACTTCGAAAGTAAAAAATKCTTTAAAAGAAAATAMATTCCCATTGCTGGTATCATTATTTCTTCAAATTGACGCCGCACCCAGATGCGGTGTCTATTCGGGGGCGGCGTCTATTAATAATTTGAGCTTTAAGTGCGGCGTCTATTTGAGGGCGGCGTCTATTCGAGTAAATACGGTAGTGCTTAGAAGGATATTATTCCGGGAGAAAGCCCCTTGGACCAGCGAGGTCGGAAATTAATTTTCCGAATTTAATTCCAAGGGTCTTTCTCCCGGAATAACCTCCTTCTAAGCACTATTCCTTTCCTTTATTTCTATATCATGTATCTCATAGTGCCATGCGGTCCTTACATTTATATCTTTACATTCTAATTATCGCAACCTAACATGCTAACCCGACCTGCTCCCAGTCTGACCTTGTAGCTCAGCTGGTGGAGCATCAAAGCCAAATAGTCGACTTTTGCGAATTTTGCCTCAGTAGTCACAAGCAAAGGAATCAAGAGGAGTTGCCGTGTGAGACAATAGTTTTTCACGACTGACTGAGCTTTATCCTCGTCTTGATTCTTTTTTATTTGACTACTGAGGCGAAATTCGCAAATCGGCTATTGACTATATAAGTTCGTAATCCACGAGACCGACTCCGAGTGGTTGGGGAAAAATGAATGAAATATATAAATCATGAAGTAATTTTATAGTAGATATCACTGAACCAGAACAATTCAGGAAAGCAAAAGAAATACACAACACAAGGGACCGTGACAGCTGCACAAAAGTTTCTTTCATTTCATGTATTAACATAGGGCAATTYGTTTTATGCCCTTTCAATAAACTCGATTTGCCATGAAGCCTAGCTTTTAGGAGCTTTCAATACCTGCCTKTATTASCTTTTGTTTTCGTGAATTATTCTGGTTCAGTGATATCTATAGCCTGTCGATTTTCAGACGGACCAAAGCCCGTCTAAAAATCAGGATATGATATACTATTAATTACAGTTAGTCAGTTAATTAAAACTAATAGTTACTACTTTTTTTATTATGTTTCACGGTACAACCTGCGTTGACAAAGCTGGTTTGAGTAAAAAAAAAAACAATCCTTATCACATCGATTTGACCCACAATATTTCTAAAAGAAAATCACAAGTTTTCGCTTTTCAAAACAATAGTC